CCATTGCAAGCTTCTGTTTCATTCCCAGCCTCTGTTCCATTCCCAGTTAACAATATGCATTCTAGTGCACACGTGTCACCACCGTCTGCTGTTCCTTTACAGACCATGAGTTCAAACATAACTAATGGTAGTTTTGCCATCGCGCAACCGGAATCATTACCTGTCCCAATGTTACCGGCCCAACCCGGTTCTGGTTTTGTTTCTTTGTCGCCTGCATTTGCTGGTGGTGGCTTCTCATCTTCGCAACATAATCTTCCCTTTGTTCCGCATACTGTGTCACCTAATATCAACGATTACTACACAAGTGATGCAAACTTATGGCGATTGGCAGCTACAACTCCAATCGTCACGCCTGTTCAGTGTTGTAATGCTGGAAACATTTTTTCTAATGTGACGACTATTGTCCCATCGTGTAACACCGCCGCTCCGTATACTAGTGGTGGGACTGTGTATTTTAATACTCCCCCAGTTCATCCACAACATGTTCCGCATTTTGTCAATCAAACTAATACTGGTTATCAGCCAGTCAACGAACACTACGCACCGTCTCCCGCTTATCCGAACCAAGGTTGTTCATCGGATCGACCTCTCTCCGCTCGTGAATTGGCGGAATTATTGATGCATAGCCGCAAAGATCATCTTCCTGAATGGAAGTTAGCCCAGTTTGACGGCAACCCGTTAAACTGGCACGAATGGTTTGGTCAGTTTAAGTCCACCGTTGATTCCGCTGTTCTCACCGATGATACGAAATTGACATACTTAAAAACGCTCGTCACAGGCAAAGCAAAAACCGCAATTGTGGAGTTTAGTTATAGTGGCGTTATGTACAAGGATGCACTGGCCACCTTGCAACGGAAGTTTGGGCAACCACATGCCATTGTTGGTGCGCATCTTGATAAGCTGAATACTTTTCCTCCACTTAAGATGCACAATTCGGAAAATGTCATTAGTTTCTCCTCTGCCATATCTGGCCTCGTAGCAGTTTTCAAATCATTGTCTTTCAACGATGATCTAAAGAGTGTTAACCTGTTAAACCAAGCTGTTAGTAAACTTCCGCCTAACCTCAAGGAGGCTTGGTCAATGCATACTGTTAGACATAATTGGCAGCGACCAACACTCTTAGACTTTAACAACTGGTTGAAAGAAAAGACCGAGGGGCATGAAAGATTACGTTTACTCAGCTCTAAGGCAAAAAACGAAGAACCGGTTAAGCCAAAAACAACCAAAGTTTTTGCAGCCAATAGCCAGGTAACTAGTAAGGCTCAGGATAAGTCTAAGTTTCCGCCGTGCGTTTTGTGTAAGGGTAGTCATGCATTGTGGAATTGTGCTGTTTTTAAGGATAAGAATGCTACTCAGCGAGCAAAATACGTAGCTGAACAGAAACTTTGCTTCGCTTGCCTCAATGGCAATCATAGTTTCCGGCAATGTTCTAGAGCAAAAAAGTGCCCGAAGCCAGAGTGTGATAGCACACATAATGTCTTGCTCCATGGAGCCGAAAAAATATTTCCTCGGAAGGAAAATTCGAAGGTCTCGAATAAGGCTGGAACAAACAAATCCAAGGAGAATACAAACACTTCCACCCATGCCGCTGTTAGTGATGTACATGACATTGAATCTTGTAAAGGGTTGTTGCCAATTGCAACACTTGGTGTATCCTCGGATGTAACCAGTCTCTTGACGTTGGTTCTTTGTGATAGTGCATCGACTCACTCCTGGGTGTCTTCGTCACTCGTAAACCGTCTCGGCTTAGTAGGGGAGCCCGTTAACTTGTCAATTAGTGGTTTCAATTCGACCACCGTTGTTGAGACTCAGAGGGTCAAGTTTACTGTTTCCTCCGAGCCGAATAATAGTGATTTCGTATTTTCTCTCTGTGCATATGTTAAAGACAATATTCGGATTGGTTCCGAATTAATCAATATTGCTGATTTGCAGAATAAATATCCACAATTAGCACCTATTAAGCCCATTCAATATACTTAGCCCATTCAATATACTTATGAGGACGTTGAAGTTATTATCGGACAAGACTACTACCACGCCGTTAGACCCATTGAGTTCATCTTGGGAGATGATAAAAACTCACCGTGTTCCGTTCGCCTACCGATAGGTTGGGTCTTAAGTGGTCCGTTGCCGCCGTCCGGTAATTCTACTTCTTCGTGTTTCAAGTGTGTTGTTGAAGATTCTTCTCTGACCGACCAGATAAAATCCTGGTACGAGTTGGAATCGTATGGTGCTTTCAAACAAGTCGATGCCCGTTCCGCCGCGGATAAACATGCTTTATCCATCCTCAATTCTGAAACCGTTCACAATGGCGAAAGATACATTGTGCCTATGCTTTGGATTGATAGTAATGTCAGTCTACCAAATAATTATTACTCGTCACTTGCCCAATTTAAATCATTGGAGAGAAGGTTAAGTAAAGACCCTGAGCTGCGCGAAAGATACGCAGAAACAATTAGAGAGGACATTAGGAAAGGCTATGTCGTTACCGTCGAACCGCATGATCCACGTAAGCGTTCCAATCGCGAGTGGTATCTTCCGCACCATCCCGTCGTAAATCCGAATAAGCCGGGTAAGGTGCGCCGAGTCCTTAATGGGGCTTCAAAGTTTCACGGCACATCCTTAAATAAGTCCTTTTGGTGGGTCCTGACCTACTCCAAAATTTAATTTTTGTGCTTTTGCGATTCCGTCAACATAAGTATGCCGTCTCCGCGGATATAGAGGGTATGTTCCTCCAGGTAGGAGTCCTTGCCCGCGATCAAATTTTGCTCCGTTTTTTGTGGCGGGAGGATACCACTTTCGATGTGGTAGTTCATCAGTACACTCGCCATATATTCGGCGCACGAGATTCGCCTACGTGCACCAATTTCGCGTTGCAAAAAACAGCAACTGATAATATGTCCACATACCCTGAGGCCGCCTCAGTCGTAAATGAAAAATTTTACATGGACGATTACTTGGATTCATTCGAGAACGTTACCCAAGCAATTAAAACTAGTCGCGATTTGGTTTCCTTACTAAAATTGGGAGGATTTAATTTGACTAAATTTGTCAGTAATGCTGATGAAATCACTTCAGCAATGAACCCCGAGGAATCCGAAACCTTATCTTCACCCATCAAGGAAATATGTAACGGTACCGAACAATCATCACACGTCTTAGGTCTTAAGTGGGACCATGTGAAAGACACATTGGTTGTTAGCAGAGGCGTGGATCGTCCTCTCGATAAAGCAATAACTCAACGAACCGTCTTGAGTTTCGTCTCTTCTGTGTTTGACCCTGTTGGGTTAGTAGCTCCATACACAGTTAGGGCCCGTCTTTTACTGAAAGATATTTGGAAAATCAGTGGTCAAAGTTGGGACGACGAATTGCCGGAAGACATAAGAGATAAGTTTCTCGGGTGGCACTCCGGTCTCCCTCTCTTAGGGCAATTGACTATTCCCCGTTGTTACTTCACAGAGCCTGTTGATCAAATTGAGCTCCACATGTTCGGTGATAGCTCGCAGGACGTTTTCTGTGCTGTTGGATTTTTGCGTGCGCGACTCGCGAGCTCGCATAAAACTCAAACATCCTTCATCTTTGGTAAAGCTCGCGTTGCGCCCATGAAAGCGCTATCTATACCGAAGCTAGAGCTTCAAGCTGCTCTGATCGCCACACGACTAAAAGATGATATACTGACCGCACTTACCCTCTCTATTAATCATGTCTTTATGTGGACAGATAGTACAACAGTTTTGCAGTGGCTAAACTCCACTGAAAAATTACCTGTATTCGTCGCTAATCGTGTCGGCGAAATCCTCGAGTCGACCACTATTGATGAGTGGCACCATGTTCTGAGCGGCGATAATCCAGCTGATACCGGTACGCGGGTGATTTCTTTGGAAGCCCTCAAGGATAGCAGCTGGGTTATTGGTCCGAGCATTCTCAGGACTACTGATTGGCCGTTTATACCCGACGAACGTGTAATCAATAAAATTCGTTTGAAGGGTCCTTCTTGTGATGTTGATAATTGCTTGGAGACATCATCTTCCTTCGTCACCGATGTCACATCCATCAAACATCCCGAACACGATATAAACGAGTAGTCGCTTTTATGTTGAGGATGTTGCCTTCACATAAGGATTTTCGTGGTAAGGACTTACGAATCACCGACCCCACTGAACTTGATATTGCAGAAAGCAAACTGATTCATCTTGCTCAGATGGAATCCTTTCCCGTTGAGTTAAAAGCACTCACCGCTGGCAAACCTAATAAGAATAGTAGTAAAATTGCCACATACTCACCATTTATCGGTCCCGCTGGAATCATTCGTTCCACCGGACGGATTGTGCGCTTAGTGAATACCGAGTTTGATACTAAGCACCCAATAATACTCGACGCCCGACATACCTCAATCCTAAAACCGAAGAAGTTCAGACTTGAATGAAAACTTGAAACTATTTTTGTCGTAAGTTAATGGTTGTGGTGTCTGAAATTAATTGAACAAACTTCTAAATCAAGATGAGTGTTCACTTTTCAAAGCATTGCTTTCCAGCTCCTTGCATTACCGTTCTACTTTAGGGGGAAGCTATATCACTTGGTGAATTTAGGGGAGGGAGAATTTTTCAAATTGTCCGCTGTCTTACAAAACTCAAACAACTCTAAATTTCCTTCATAGAGCTAACGTGAGTCAATTTTAGGGTCCAAAAAATACATGGATGGTTTTAACGTTTTATGACGGAAAGGTTTAGACTTGAGCTGAACAAAAATTATCCGCACTGCAATCCATGTTTACGTCTCTTGAAAAATGATTCAGACTTTCATTTGTTTACTGTGGCTTTTTGATGGCTAAATAGTTTCCAAAATTTTTTTATCAGTGCCAAATAATGAAACTGAAAAAGTGTTGTTCTCAGTGGAACAGTTTTATTGACGTCATAGAATTTTTTAATGGAAAAAGCTATTTAATTTTTTGTAACATATGGCGAATTAGAGCTGCCATTAAAAAGTAAATTTACATTTTGTGATGTGTCGTTCATTCATACAGTCATTATATTATGACCAAGTGGCGCATTTTCATGATGTGAACTAGAACTATTTCAAATAGCCGGTCTGTAAACCCATTTATTTTTCAATTCCCTTGTCTAGACGTGAAATTAGTTCACAACAAAGCGATTATCAGTTAGGGCTGTTAAAAACCGTCAAAATTTTCACATTTTTAAACAACTTTATTTAGTTAGATAATCAGTTTTTAGCTTATTTTATTAGACTTAATGATTTGTCAAAATTCGCGTGAAAATAAACTCACTTTTGACTTTTCACTGACTGACTATCAATTCCATACTGCCAAACCGAAAAAAAATATAAAATTATTTGAAAAAATTGACTGATTACACTTGAAACTAAACAAGATACCGACTGTGACTGTTATTAACTTTCAGCACAAATTTATTACTCACATATATTTTTAACGCTGTTGCCAAATATCAATTTATCTTGACTTTTCCCAAAAATGGATTCAAGTACAGACGAGCAATTCCGAACAGCTGAATCGAAAATCCTCTCTTCGTTTGCAGCATATTCTACCTCGTCGACCGAAGTCGCGACACCGACTAATTCTCCGACTCTCATCGACGATGAATTTGAAAACGAAGATTGTGAATGCGACCTTGGACTCGGACGACGAAAAATTGACTTTGACGACGGCGATTCGCAGAAACCTGAACATACTTCGGGTGAATATTTGCTGCACAATGCTCTACACTCGGCAGATTTGACCAAGTATGGAAGTTTTGCCAAGCCAATGCGACTGATGACGTCAAAGCGTCCAACTTTATGCACCGAGAGTGCTGAGACTAGTCGTGATTCTTTTGACGAATCAAAACAACATGAGCTCCAAGTGAATTCTTCAGCAATTGGTGGCTCGTTGCATGAACAGAAAATTATTTGCAGAAAAGATGTGGAAAATGTTTTCATTCACAAGATTCTGGAGGAAATTCAAAACGATGATTCGTCTTTTGGATCTAAAGGTAAGTTTTTGGTTTATTTTGATCTGATTACCCACCTTGTATGTTTCTTTTGAACCTGTGAACAATTTTGACGACTAAAATTGTATTTTTATAAAAATGACCGAAGGAACAAACTATTTCAAAAAGTCTTTTGTTGAGTTTTTTTCGTACAAAAATGTCATAACATTGTAAACTCTGAAGGTAAAGGCAACAATACAGCCAGCAAATATCGATAAGTTGAAGCATTCTTTTCCGCGACGTGAATTTAATACAAAACAAGTAACTCGCTGCTTCAAAATTAGCAGAAAACAATGTCAGGCATGCTCAAAAGTCAGTTCTGCTTATTATTCATTTTTAATGGTCCGATAGTTTTCATCTTTTATTTATCATCTTGTATCTGATGAGACACCATTTGAAATTTTTCGCAAATTTGACATTAGAAAATGTCCTTGAAAATAAGCAAAGCGAAGTTGAATGGAGTTGAAGTTTTTGGTGTCTGTGTCTCTGTCTTTTGACTAAAGGTATTTTTCTATTAAGAATTATGTTGGCAAACTTTGAAATCAAACAAAGGTGATCAAACAAAGGTTCAATTTCATGCCATTTTTCAATCTAGTTTTTTTGCACATTACAAGAGTCTCGACAAGAAGTGTACTATCTTGACAAAGTATATCTCTTGTTAAAGTAGATATAAAACTTGTTACCCTCTCTTGTCTAACTACACCACAGATGGCAATTCTTTGCTACTGAATTCAGCGGGGCGTCCCAGACTCAATTCTGCAAACCCAGAACGGTTAATTTGGTGATACGCATACGTTATTTTAAATTGTCCAACGTTGGTTGTTCTTTATGTGATCTACCAACTTTTTTCTCTCAATGACGCTCGCAAAAAATTCAACGATGGTCAATGAATTCAAACTAAACGTCAAAAACAGAAGAAGCTGTAACATAAAACAGAAGAGGCTATAACACCCGGGTTGACCTCCATACACCGAAAATGCTTATCATACAATTCCATACATCAAATGTGTGGGAAAATGCTTGTCATACAATTTTTATACAATTTCTAAAAATGGTTGAAAACTGGTATAAATTCATTTCTGTGGCTGTTTGTTTCTAATAAAACAATCTGGCGATAAAAAACTGAGGTTTTCGTTTTTTGAAAAAAATGCTTCTCATACAATTCTGACATTCTACCTGAGAACTGACCTACTTTTTTCTCGCTCACAACATGACCGCTAATCAGGATAATTAAACTAACTTGACCTCACTCTGAGATTCAACAAAAACTCTTCCCACTAATTTTACTCGGTAGAATCCACAATTCTAAGTTGCTGCTGATCTTGTTACCCCCCAGGTGTCGCGAGGGAGGGAGCCGCGAGGGAGGGAGGGAGGGAAGAAAAGATATTGGGATTTTAAGTGGGAATGCTTTCGGGGGATATGCATCTGCAATAGCCTGCTCGACACTTAGAGAATGCAGTTGTTTGATAATCGATTTGTAATTTTGAGAGGCAAAATAACTAAATTAGTTGAATTTCTTTTAAGTGATAAAAGATGCATTTGCTGTGTATGGAGGATATTTTCTATTCAAGTTTTTTGGACGGATTTTCCGGGGAGGTTCGGGGCAATGGTGATAAAAAAGTAAGGAGGTCAAGGGGATGTATGTTTTCAGTGTAAAATGGCTTGATAGTAATTAACGCTATTGAGCAAAACTTTACATTCTGTAAATAATCTTGTCAGTTGGGTCTCAAAAAAAGGAAGGTTCGCTCATCCTTTCAATGCACGCTGTAAAAAGAGGTCAAACAAAAGAGCCGTTGTAAAAATGAACTTTATTGACATTTTTGTCTGCTAGACTCAAAAATGTGCCATAAAGTCTGCTTGGCGCAGAAACAATTCAGCCACAAACAATTCAGCCACAAACAATTCAGCCGATTTAAAATACAGACAATTCAGCCGATTTAAAATACAGACACTTCAGACAAAAAAACTCAGACATTTCAGCCAAAGACAATTCGCCCTATTTAGATTAAAGAGAACAGATAAAAGAAAAAATTAAAACTTTTCTAATTTGGTTAAAGTCAGAAGGCTTTCATTACTTTAACAAAGAAATGTGAAACATCAAATAACAAATTTCAAAGATCAAAACAAACTTGCTAAGAATAAAGTATTAGGATATATGTCCATCTGCTTTCGTGTAAATTGGTTAATTTTTAAGTATTGTGCAGTTTTTTGTTCGATTCGATTTTCGCTTGGCTACTATTCTAAAATTGGAATCATAATGAGTTGCATAAAATTTTTTTGTACTTTTGGTTCTGTTATTTTTATTTGTTTATGTGCATTTGAAAGGAATTAATTATAAGGCGTCTAATGAAAGCTTTGATGTTTTGCCGCATGTGAAAGTTTTTGCGCGCACTTTTTAAAACTTTAAAACTGTCTGAAGAGTCTTTGGCCGAGTTGTCTCATTCAGTTTGACTGATTTATCTGAATTTGAAATTGGCTGGATTGTCTGTGACCGAATTGTCTGAATACGGCCTTCTTCACTTATAAGATGCTTGGCTTCTAAGTCTGTTGAATTAGGTCGGAAAACAGATAAAAATTATATTTTTCTTTTTTATAGGGCCACACAATTGTAAGGATCCCTCTGTCGTGTTTGCCTTGATCAGCGCCCGTAAATCAATTTGTAAGGAATTGAGATGTAATTTGCGCTTGGAACACAGATCTTTGAAATTTGATCATAATCAGATTAATTTGCCAATAGCTTGAATTGTTACGCTAACAATTGTTTTAAAACATCAATTTTCGATTCGCCAATGATTTTAAGGACTTCTTAGGCATTTGATTATCAATTTGGTAAAAGTGCATGTTATGCGCGAATAGAATTTCAACAATTAATTCCCAAATTGAAGGAAAAGCAATCAATTTTGTTCGTTGGAACCATTTTTGTTCGTTTGTTTTCTGTTTTTGTTTTATTTTCACCTTATTCGATTGGTTTATAGAAATCTAAGTACCCACTCCACTTCACAGTGCAGATACTGCAAAAATTTGATTGATATTTAGCTTCAAAAGTGAATTTTTACTTTTGAATTTTTTCGCAATAAAATTAATATATGGTGATTTAGTTGATTATCAGATTCGGATAATGTATTTTAAAAAAAATTTGGGATCTACTTAATAATCTCCACCTTCTTTCAAGGAAGGGTGGAATTTTAAGTAGGTTAAAATATTCAAAACGATCAAAATGCTCAAAATGATCAAAATCGTCCAATCAGAATGCAGCAAAGATAGACTTCTCAGTGCTAATTTACTGAATTTATTTGTAGGGCTGTAGATTTTTAAGTAGATACCATAGTAAAAGGAGATTGTTAAATAGATCATAAATTTAAAATTTAAATCCTTTAGTTGAGTTTTTTTGCAATCAAAGTTAAGTTTGAAAAAAGTCAGAAATAACCAATAAATTTTTTACTTTTTGCGAGTTCATTTAAAGTTTTGTGCTGGTTATGTTTATGGCAGTCTCTGGTTTTCAAAAAATATTCGCTAGAAGATACCATATGAAGCTTACAAATTTTTAAAAGTTGTATCAAAGAAAGCTACAAATCAAAAAAACATTTCTGATAGAACGGAAAATTTCTGTCAGTTCTTTCAAACTGATGCAAGTTTGCGCAAAAAATTTGCAACGGCAGTGTTTTTTGGATTGATTTTTTATGGACTTTATCATTGATTACCAGACCAGATCACTGATGCAGCCTGTGAACTCTCACTTCTTAAGGCTGCGCATTGGTTTTGCTTAAAATATTGTCACAAAATAAATAATAATTTTTGAATTATATCTAGTTTTTGTTACTACGACTATCTTTCAAACTAATTCAAGCATCCCAGCGAATGCCAAAAAACTTTACTTCTGAGATTTCCCAGTCAATTTTATATCATTTTCTGAATTCTGTTTATTTCGACTTCAAAGAGAAAACAAAAAACACATATTTTTGCAAATTTTTTGAATCATGAGCATTTTTTCAGTTGCCTTTTTTGTTTTTGATACCAATCTAATCAATCGCTTCAACAGAAATTCGACATGAAAAGCTCTGCTGAAAATTTAAAATTAGAAAAAAAAATCTTTTAGTTTGGGAAAACTTGTTTAAGTGAACTGGTTTAGCCGTTTAATATATTTTTTATTGTTTTTTTTTCGATTTATTCAATTTTACTCAGCTGTTTGAAATTTTGTTGATTAAACGTGCAGTTAATTTTCAAAAAAATATATCTACTGAGACATATTGTATTTTTAAATATTTCTTAATTGGGCTCAAAATTTTATTAGATGTCAACAGAAATTTTAACTTTTTATGTTTTTGTAGTCCAAAAATTCCTAAATAAATCTTGTGCATTACTAATTCCAATTTTCGGTTTTTTTCATGTTTTTAGATGAGTTTAACTAATCAATTGTTTTGTTTTACTTCCAAATTTTTTTGCTAAAATGAAGACAAATAACGCGCTTCGCTTAAGAAAAAATAATGGCGAAAGAAACGTGAGCTACTTCTAGTTTCGAAAACTGAGTTGGATTATAGGTTTCCCAGCGGTATGAAGCAGTTTTTTTCTTGTCCTGTTTTCTCAAGTTGATTCAATTTAAGCGAAGAAATTTTTTGAACCTAAGAAACGCCCAACAAACTAGCCGGAATAAATCTGTAATTTTTTTATTTTCGTGAATTCATTAACATTTTTCAAATCGTCGAATAGCTATGTTATGATATGATTACAAAAATTTTGAATTTGCCGACCAATCTTTTGAAAACCAATTTATGATCGGGGTTCTTTCACGTCAATTATGATGAAGTGAATACTCTTATGGAGGTGTTCTTGGTGAGTTTTTTTGTTTGTTCATTTTTCAAGAAGATTTCTTAACATTTGTTCACGCTCAAGTTTGATTTTTTTTACGGTTTATTTTTCAATTTTTTAAATGTTCAGCTCATTCTTGCTGTTCAAAGAAAGTCAAATGAAATCCACTATCGAACAGCAAATTTGCAAAAGTCACAAAATACGTTATCGACCTCTAGTTTCGAAAGCAGATTTAATTTGCAGATATTCCAGCGGAAGGAAAAAAATACCAATTCGGAAATTTTAATTTTTCGGAAAATGTGTTATTAATTTCATAGATGTTTCTAGAAAAACACCAAGAGCCACATTCTTTTTCCGTTGAAATTTGAAACTTTAAATTGGTCAAAAACAAATCAGTTTTTTTTGCATTCAAGATTTTTTTCCATTTCTCTTTTGGCTCTGTTTATACCTTGTCTAGTCAAGACAATGAACAGTGGAAATGATAATCAAAGCTTCTCGTTGACTTCAAAATATTATTAATTTTGTTCGAAGATAGAAATATTTTGATCAATTGTTTTCAAATCTGAGAGAAATTAATGTTTTTTAAATAAGTTCGACTGAACGGGTTTTGAACATCGCATTTGACTGCTTAAAGCCTCCGTTTGGGATGTAATAAAATTTGTCGAGAAAAAAAAAGAAATAAACGGTGCTGACAAAAAAAAACATCTTAAATAGCATTCGAGGTTGGCAGAGTTCTTTTTTCAGATGCCAGGTAGAATATTTTTTTTCTCGGCAAATATGATTTTGAAATGATATTGGAAATCATCTTCTAAGTGTACGAGCAAGGGGCGTTTTTGACTGATAAAAATTGACCTGCAAAAGAAATTCAGCTTAGAAAAAATGCTCATATAAGAAAAGTTGTAGAACTTATTAGTCTTTTTAAACGTATTGCGAGTGGCACTTTTTGAAAAATTTTGACAAAAAAATCGCGTTTTTTTGGCGCGCGCTCCCCCTCAAAGTTAGTATATATTGGCGCCAAAGGCGCCTTTAGGAAAATTTTAGGGTCGGTCGGCCAAAAAATAGATTTCTAAAAAAAGTATCAAAGGGGGGACCCTTTGGGTCGGCAGGGGGTCGAATCCCTGAGGGGGGGGGGGGGTAGGGGGAGCGTCCGCCCCCATGCCCCCGGCCCCCCATTAATCCGCCCCTGCTTCTCTCCATTCGTCTTTTTTTTCGGACTCCAATTGTTAAATTTAGTTGGAGTAGGCTTACGTCGTCTGAGTGCCTGTTTGAGGTTTTTGCGAAACTGTTCTATCGGATTTAGACCGGTGAAAATGAGAGGGATATTAATCACTTAATATCATTGTCAGCAAAAAAATATGGGCGAAAAAAGCTATATGAGGGTTCGCATTGTCGTCTTGCAAGAGTCCGATTAAGAGTGTCTATGTAAAAATGGTACAACCGCTGGTCTGAGCATATTGTTGACATGACATTTAGCAGCACTTATCGTGGATTTCGAGTGGCGGTTGTTTCAACCCAAACGAAAGTGAAAATTCTCTCCTCGTGTCCTCTGAACTCTAAGTCTTCCGTCAGAAGAACCCAACGGAGCTCGTCTGCAAAAATGACTGTTAGTATCTTTCTGGCGAAGTTTTTGAGAGTATATAGAAGCATCATAGCTGAAAACGTGTGTGATGAGAAAGAATAACGGGTTCTTTTACGGGTCGCCTTCAGAAAACTTTTGTCTTTTTCAGCAGCCTGCGAACAGTGTTTTTTGGCGTCGGATCCTTATTGGGCGTCGGATCTATGCTGGGTTTTGACATAGCCGGTATCGCGAAATGTGTTTTTCAACTTCCTTGTAGCCGGATAAAAGATCCAACTTCTTAGATCCTCGAGCCTCTACTGAGCATGTCAATGGCTTGGTCTTAGCTTTCTTCAGATAAACGAAGCCAATTTGCTATTATTACAGATAATTAATTCTTATCATTGTTGAATTCACTGCTGAGTCATTTTTCACACATTTTTTTTATTTGTTAAATTTTTCACAAAAAGTAACTTTCCTACGCATTTCCGACATTACAACCACTTTTGCGCTTAAGTATAGATCGTGATGAATTTTTTCAGGAGAAGTTTTATGAACGTCCGCGCTCGTAACTGATTTTTTGAGGTTTGGCGCATGGTTTATCTATAAATTCAGTACATTTTTTTGTTAAAAAGAAGGCACATCATACTATCGAACAGCAGCTGCAAAGATCACTAAAAATGTGACTTCGCCAATGACTTTTACTCTCAAAATTGTTCTTTTTTTCAGCAACGCCTTAAAAATTCCCTCGAATGCCTTAGCAACAAAGAATATCATATCACTTGAAACTGCAAAAAGTTCAGTCAAAAAAGATAATTATGTCAAACGGTCAAGTAAAAATATCAGATAAAATATAATGTACTGACTGGACCGGACCACCTTAACTGAAATTTATAATTGCAATTATTTTTATTTTTTATAAAAATTAAAATCAGCAGTACGCATATTTGTTGGTGCATCTTATGTTTCATCTCCGCCGTTGCCCGCATGTTTTTTGAAACCAGGTTAACCAAAAGTTGATAATACACTTGTGAAAATTTAAATGCAATCTGTTTTTCAAGGTCAAAAATTGAACCTATGCAGAATATTATAAATTATTTCTTGCATTTTTTTAATCAGAGAATTAATTTTGTTTATTTATTCTTATGTTAAACTTTTGTAAAATAAAGAAAGCTGTGAGGTAATTTTGCGGTGAGTCTTACAAATTTTGAATTTTTTGAAATTCTTAAGTGTCCTAACAGCAGGATTGGCACATTAAAATTGTTATTAAAATAGAAAAGATTAGGTAAATTTCTTGCTCAAAGAGTTATCAAACGAAAATGTGAAGTCTTTTTTTCAGAATAAGTTTCCCTTAACTCTGACCTAAAAACTTTCCGAATACAAGATGATAAATGATAAATTTGTATTTTGTTTTTTACAGTGCTGCAATACATAGGAGACGAGAGCCAAAAGAAACAGACAAGTTTGCTGCTGATCAAGAAAAAATTCCTGGACGCTGTTACTGTAAGTAAAAAATATTAAGTGTATCATATGTCCATATAAAGTTTTTGCTACCAAATCTTGATTTCCCCATAATTCGAAAGACGTAGGTAGCAAGAACGCTCTAAGTCCAAAAAATATATACTAAAAAATGGTGTAACTTTTTCAATGCGAGATTTTTAGTATGATATGTTGAGCAAAGCAAGATTCCCTCAATGATTCAGCAGTTTCGTTCTTAGGATTTATTATTTAGGGTAGTTGGAGTTTGGTTTAGTTGATCACGTAACTATTTGATAGGAGGTTGAGCGTCTGAAAAACGATCTGAGTGCCAGGTGTCGCCAGCTGGACAGCAAACACGACGCCATCCAGATCCTGCAGACACAGCTGGACCAGGCCTACAGGGCACACCAACTGGAGTACGACGCCTGCAAGAGTCTGGACACCAACTGCAAAAAACTGGAGAAGGTGAGCTAGTTACCCGGGTTGACCAAAAATGCTCTTATCCTAGAATTTTCATATATGACAAAATCCTTATCATACACTTTCGTACAATGACATAGATACAAAAAATGTTAAGAAAACTCTAAAATAAGCATTATTTCAATTATGGAATTTGTAGGATAAGCATTTAATCATATATGGAAATTGTAGGACAAGCATTTTTTCTCTAATCGAAAAAATGAATTTTTTTACTTCTTAAAATTTTTGGGATGTGTTTGTGACCGAACACAAGTGACTAAACCAATGATTTACTCAAAACTAGGATTCACCAAAGAGTTGATTGTCTGGCATTTGCAATGCATTGGAAATAACCTGAACTGTGTAAGAATTCTTTTCACAAATCATATACTGAAAGCATCAAAATTTTAAATTTTGGCAAAAACTGTCAAAGATGATTATTTTTTGAAATTAGAATTTTCAAACTATTAGACATTGATCAAGACATATATAAACATGCCATACAAAAGAAAAAGGAGTTCTTAGCCTGTTTGATAATTGATATTATAAGACCAGCTAAGTCGAGGTTTGCTAATTATCTTTCGACCGTCGCGACCCAAGTGAGCTAACTAAGTTCTGGCTATGCCTGATCGAGGTATATTTTTTTCGACCGAGTTCTGCCAAGGAGTTTTTTCAACTGTGTTCAGGAGTGAGTTTCAATTTCCTCTCTCTCAAACTGTGTTAGTTTTCATAAAAGTAAAAACAAAAAAATTAGTTGAGCCAAGCGACACTGATGCTTTCAATTTTGTGAAATGTTTGGCTAGTTTTTTTTTTTTAAAAAAACTGTTTTGATTTTGAGTCATAATGGTGAGCTTGTTTTTCTGAAAAACATACATTCAAAAGAATCAACAAATTACGATTAGATACGCTGATCGAAAATTGAACCTTATAAAAAATATGCTTAATTTCTTTCGCATGAAGAGTATTGAACAAAGGTTTTAGTCTAGTGGAACATGTATCGACTCTCTAAAAATTATTTCAATAGATATTTTTGTTTTAAAAAGTTAATGAGGTTTTAACAGTGAACGTTTACTAAATGTTGATGTATTTAATGCTTGCACTCTATCCATTCATCTATAATGCTCAACCCTCACTCTTTCAGCGCGACAAATTAATCGAAATTCAAATCCACTGAAAAAAATACCAAATAACTTTGAGACCAGTTAATGGTTACTTTTACTTTTTGACTTTTTTTCTTCACTTTTTCAATGAGGAAACTTAGAAAAAATGAAAGACTGGAAATTGTTTTGAGACGAGCATTTCTGATATTCTAACTTCTTAAATGTTTCACTTTGATAAAAAAACTACTTGAAAGTTTCACCATTGTGCTTAAATCAAAGCATTTTAAAAAAATTTCAGCAGTCTCCAAGGAAATCTGTTTTGAACATTTTGTTTTTCAATTAAGTATTTGTTTTTAATATAAAACGAGTACAGCGAGCGTATTGACCGTTGAGCTGTGAATCGAGCAGTCAAAATGAAAGTTTCTATCGCGAACAAACATGTATTTAAAGCTTCGTTTTGGGCAAATACCACTCAGAAAATAACAAACTTAAAACTAAATCCAGAAAAAAATAAGAGAAAAACTTGATTTCATTTTTGTTATTCATTTTGCAGCGATAACTATAGTCAAGCCATCAAATAACTTGTAAAACACTTTAAGTTCCTTTTACCATACCATACCTAAAATACACAAATTTGACTTGCGCAGTAACTGTCTGTTTTTGTTGTTCCGGCCTTTCTCGAAGTGTATGACGATTAGCATCAGTTTTTCAAATGTTTTCCCGCCAAATTTGGCTACTTCAAAATACACAATTAGGAGCAATTATAGCATAAAAAATGATAACCTGCTAGTCTTGATACAAATTATAAAACAAAACTTAAAAAACTAAAACAGTCTGAGGTTTTTGGACTAAATGAGAGGAGATAACATCCCAGTTTTCAATCTACTGAAATCAAAACGCTATTGCTCAGCATTTTGTAACTACAGATACCGCTTACATTTTAAATTTTAGAAACAAAAAAATAGGAAATTTTTACAACAAATTATGCAGAAGCAAGCTTAACCAGTTTCTATTTTTTTTCTCTTTTTTTTTCAAAAGCTCTTTGGTCGAAATATTTTAGGCTTGTTAAATAGCAACCGGTTGTTCTTGTTTCAATTCAGTAATTCAGATTGGCTTCAATGCTCTTTGGAGAATGCCGTTAAAATATTATCAAAAGTGTAAAAGTATTTGTAATAAGCTTAAGAATTGTCTCTAAAAAAGCCGAAATAACGAAAAGTCTGATGACTGTTGGATTCTGTTTCAATCTCTCGTCTTTCAAGTTTTCTATTTTTCCTGTTATCTTACGTGTTTTATGATTAGTATAGGTCGCTACTCTTAAATAGGTCGCAATGGTTTTTTGTCGTTTTTTTTTTCAGGAAAAAATCTAAAAATGCTGCAACCACTGCTGAAATGCAATCAAAATTTTTAATGCATTTATGAATACCTTAAGGTGTATATGCACTTTTTGAATTCAATTGAAGTTCATCTGGTAAAAGGCAGTCAGATTGCGCCATCCAAAATTGAACGTGGAATTTGCGCAAAAAAACGAGATCGATTTTTACTTTCGAAAGTGGGGCTTTGTTTTTAGATTTTTTACATTTTCCATTTGAATTAATTTTATGAAAAAAACTGTATAAATTGTTCTTAAAACTCAAAGAGCTTTAAGAACATAAAATCATTTTTACTTCATGGACTGTTCTCCAACTGTTTGGTGGCTGTCTCAGGTTTCCAGTGGGTTAAAAAATTACCTAGTTATCCGGTTTTCTCATACGGCAAATAACGATAATAAAATAGTTTTGAAAATTAGGTTGATAAATTTTTACAATCTTTTATAAAAAAATTTTAGGTGATAACGTTTTTAAAATTGAACTTCTTAAGCTTCAAAAAAATAATTGTTCTCTGTTTTGCTTAAGTTTTCCGATGTTTTTTGGCCATGTTTGAGTGTTTGCACTCACCCCGTAGACCCTGTAGAAATTTTGCGTGCATCTGACAGACCAGGAGATATTCAGTAAATCAAAAAATATCTATTAACATTGAAATGGTTTTGATTTCAATAAATCGGCTCACGTTAAACTTGATCAGAAATGGCAGTCGTTTTTGAGCGAAATCAAATACCCACATAGCCAGTAAACAATACCACGTGATATTTTAGGAGTTGGATGAGGTGAGGTGGGAGTGGGAGGTGCGGGACTACCAGGTGGGCCAGAGTCAGGACAGCTGGCGGGACAGACTGGAGATAGTGGAGAGGGAGAACAGACAGCTGCACTCTGCACTCCAGAGGACACAGGCAGAGTTGAAGAGTGTACAGAGAGAGAACACAGGTAGTAAAAAGACGGACGCACGAAAACTTTTACACTAGAACTTTTACACCAAATGGAACTTATTCGATACCTAAAAACTCAAAAATCGGTCAGATAAAATGCAATGCCTGAAAAAAAACAATCGGATGTGACAAAAACCGTTACTGCTTCCAAAACTATAGAAATTAGGCTTTTTATTTTTTTATTTTTATTAAATTGATTGCAAGAGTATTATCTTTAATTTGTTTTGCAATTTTGTTAAGTTAGGTTAGGAAAGTATGTCTTCAAGGGAAACGTTTGACCTATCATAGCTGTTCAGATCTTTGCGTAGAGCCGCGACTTTAAAATTACATGCTATTTTTGATGCTATTTTTCCCTTTTGAATTCATTTTTCTAGTTATGAGTCAAGAGAAACAAGAGCTACTCCTGCTGATGCAACTGAGTCAGGACGAGAGACATGCATCCTCGCTAGCCGAGAGCGACACCTACCACGACCTCTCAGCTCCCGAGATGTCAGTGCTCGGCTCATGTAGTTGTGGCGATCAGGGCAGCAGAAGCAACTGTGAGACCGGGGCAACTGTGACTCTGGTCCACCCATGTAGATGTGCATGGTCTCTGGTCAACAGCCGGAGAGAGATCAAGCATCTCAAATCCAGGGTTAGATATGCACCACACTTAACTAAAAGAACTAATATTTTAAGTTTAACGAATTATTGGAGAGGTCTTTGGTATGTGTAGAAAATTAAAAATTGTACATTGCTGTGTAAAACTACCCCGACCCACTCAAACCTTTCTACTTCTTCCATGATAGTTAAACGAATCTTCTTCCATGATGGTATTTTGTATGGATAAATTTTGTTAACAAATGGGGAGCGGTGGTGAAATGGTTACGTCTCCGCCTCTCAAATGAAGGGTCGGATGTTCGAGGCCCACCATGATCCGTGCTCATTGATTGAGAGTGTGGCAACATCACCCAGCCCAGAAAAATAACCAAGAAAACTGCATGTAGTTCTTAAGTAGAAGCACAACAACGATGCATTGGTCCTTTCCTTCGTGGATAAATGATCTTACAAATTGTTCCCTTCTCGAAAGCGAGTTAATTATTTACTTTCGATGAAATTTGTTCGGAGATATAAACGTCTAACAGTTTACTGCATTATTAGGTGAAGGATTTGAGTGAGAAGCACGTGAACAGTCTGAAGATAGGCGACCTCTACAGACGTGCATTTGAGGACCAGCTGGAGAAGAACAGACGAATATTCGCAGCCATAGTCCACCACCAGTTCAAAGCGGACCACAATGCAGGTAACATCATCATAGTCGTCGTGCTTTCTTTATTTAGACACTTCTTCTTGAACAGCAACAAATTTGAGTTTTTTCAGGTCTGATAGCCTATTATTTTTTGCTTGGAAGATGCCAGAATTTAGTAAGATTTCCAATTCCTTTTTACAAGTTGTGAGACTCCGACTCTTACACGAAATTATGTTTCACCAAACTCTGTGATTGCCTCAACTTCTTGCAATAATCTCTACAAAAACTATGGAAAAATGTTCAATTTCCGAGCTTGACGATAGTCCGAATTTTTTTAAAACCCAGTTTGGCTGGAATGAATATCTGCGGGTTTTAAATTTTGAGCACGTCCTTTTTCCGCTAAATTATCAGTCGTACTCTGTGTCTTACAGGCAAAAGGTCCGTGACGAAATTGAATTTCTGTTTCTTCGGAGGTATGTATCCATGTTGTACCGTCATTTATTTGTAAATAATAAATAATATTGCTTCATAATTATGATGATTAATTGAAAATACTTGGTTGCCTTTCATTGTCCGTGCTAAGAATTCAATGTTTTGTATGTTCTCGACGCACATCGGTTATCGAGTTAATTATTGAAGTTTTTTCAGGAAACTTGCTGCTTGAGAGTTGCACAAACCCAAAAGAAGACCCAAAAAGCGATCAGCCGGGCGGCGATCAAAACTACATGCTCAACATAATCGACATGGTAATCAAAATTAAGAATAACCACCCGATGTTAAGTCTATCAGAACGAAGTTGGTCAAGTTAAATCAGTTATTTAGGGCATCTCAATTTTCAACATGAGTATTTGGACGGTTGGTATACAAGTGGAACCTAATTAAATGTATTGACCGCACTGGTCTTGGCAAAGAAGTTTTTATAAAACTCACAAAAATCCAGAAACAAAAGTTTTTCTGTTATCTTTCGTCGAAAGTAAGTTTGATAACTGTTGTGCGTAAATAATTCTTAAAAACTCAAAAATTCGGACCAGTTTTTCTTGACACTGAAACGAACCTGTGGATTGTGATTTTGCAAACCGGATGAAAAGTAAGAGGGTTTGAATATGACACCACTCTCGAAGCCAATTTTTGGGTTACCTAAGTTTGCGTCAAAAAACACGCTTGAGGCCAGAGAGTTCTTTCTTACCCCTGAGCATTCGTCTTAACAAAAACCTTTAAGCATTTTTGGGATGTTTATTGCACTAAGTTACAATAAACTGTAAAAGAAAAACATTTTTCTAAATAGTAATCTTTTAAGAATTGAATTGAAATCAGTTTTCTGTTTTGTTTTCAATTTTTAAATTAAAGAAACAAAAAATGATTTAAAAACCAATACATGTCCTTTCAGTTACGTGACAGGACTGAAGAATTGTTCCATAAGCGACTCTCGGCTCAGTTTTTGGCAGACAAAATCTACCAGCTGGAGGCGGAACTAAAAGTAATGAAGGATCTACAGAGACAGAGTGGACATCCAGACAACAATACCTCTGTCACCCCAAAGCCACCAACTGGTGCTAGTGATTGCCAACAAACGTGTCCCGAAAGCACCGAGCACTCACCGCCACAACAGAAAAAGGAGGAAACTGCAAATATGACAGACTCGTCTGACTTTGGTTCCATTTTTGTCGCCGATTTAAATTAACTGAAGAAAATTATTTAAAAATTTAAAAAATGTATAGGTATAAAAGGTTTGAAATACAAATAAGCAAATAACTAATTATTAATATTTGGCAGCAATTTTTTAAGGGCATTGAACACAATGAGTACTCTTATATGGCCTTGATGGTTTTTCGTTTTGTTTTCTAGGAAAAAGTCTTAGATACTGTTCGCACTCAATTTTGATTTTCCGCGGTAAGACTTTAATTTTTTTTTCAGTTCATTTAATTTCTTTTTTTTAGGCAAACTGCACAGTCGAACAGAAAATAAGGTCACAAAAAACGTGATCGACTTTAATTTTGGAAATGAAATTTAAATATCAGATTACTCACGAAATAACGATTTTATCTATTAATTAAGTTTTCTCAAATTGGGCTTATTTTATCAAAAACTGGTTGAAAAAAAACTGTTTGTGAAATTCAAATAAAATTAAGGGTATATCTTTGCTCTTTAAAATTCACAATTTGAAGTATTTTTTTTCAGTCAGTATTTGTACTGTTTCCTTGCGTTCCTTTCTCCTTTCTAACTCTCAGTTGGCTATGTTTGCATTTCAGCGCTTTTGGATACTAGATTTGAAGATAAAGTTTTATTTGCCAAAAAAGGACTAACATGCGAGCTTTTCAGCTCTTTACAGAGCACCGCTGTTATTTTGTGCCCTCTTTAAGAATTAAATGCAAATTTTTTTGCTTATTTTTCTGGGCTGAGTAATTTTACCTCAATCTCAAGCAACGAGCACTGATCATGAGCAAGAAAAGTTTTTTAAAGTTTTTTCCGATGCTAATTTTTTATCACCAATTTATTTTTAAGTAAAGTATTTTTTGTAGAATATAAAGTTCTAAAGCTGCCAGAGGTAAAACTCCAAAAAAAAATGTTTGACTTGAAACATAACCCAAATTCCAAAAAAATTCCAAAAAAATGAACTGAAACATAACCCAAAAACTGACACGATTTTGATATTTAATATATTGTTCAATATTTATATGTCAATTGTTTTTATTTAGGCAACCCTTTTAACTTATCTGCTCATACAAAAACCATTTTAACTCCAGGAAGAGATTGACTATGATCTATGATAACATCTATTAGGAGGCCTTATACTTCAACTCATTCACTGAGAAAAACAAAAGGTTATATCAACAAGCATTGTTTCTCTCAGTAAAACGAAATGAAAAATGTTTCTGGGGAAATGGTGGCACAATCTTTCATTACCATTTTATTATGTTTTGAAAATTGTTTTGCCTGAAACTTGTTTTGCCAAAAAATTAATTGAGAACTGACTAATTAAACCAGTTTTCGATCTCAATTTTGAACAAACAGGACTGTGATACAGCTATGAAACTTTGCATAAAAGTTTTCGTTAACATAAACTTGTAATAATAGCTGAAAGCGAATGGCAAAAGCTGTGTAAAATAATCCAAGTGACGACAATTCAATTAAAGCAAACTTTTTTTGGAGACTAAGCTCTTATAACATTGGGTTCAAGATCAATAAATGATGTTTCAACCGCATTCATGCGTCAACATGGACACCTGATCTTTTCTCTTTAGACAGAAAGGTGCAACAAATGCTTTGAAGTGAAGCTGCCAATACAAAAAGTTTGAGATTCAAAATATTGCATTCAATTCAAGTTCATTTGCTAGAAGGTAAGCAAAATGCCTTCTCTAATTACGAAAGCAGCAATGGCGCTAAAAACTTGATTGGTTTCTAGTTTTGAAAATAGAAGTTAAAATTTTGGGTTTTCCAGTGGAATCAAATTTTTTCCTAATATCTTTTTTTCCTCAAATTGGGTTAAAATTATCAAAAAAATTAAAATTAAACTTTTTTCTCGAATTTCAAGAGTTTTAAAACAATTCATTTTAATGTCAAAACATTCGAAAATGAAAACTATTCAAAAAACAAGTCAATTTTTTTCTGTTTTTTTTTGCCTTCACTGACTTTTTTCCAACTTTCTATTGTATTGGCCTAGTGTTGTTCTGAATTTGTTGTTTTCGCGACTTCGATAGGTTCAATTCCACAATAAAGGCGATTTTATGGAACTTTGACGCTTTTATGATTTGACGCAGTTTTCAGCCGAATGCAAAGATGTGTTTATCGCAATTTATCTCTACTGATGATATGAATTGCCTTTCATATGAATAATAAAAAAAAAGCAATAAAATCAAAAAAATCCAGATTTGTGTGAACTTGTTCCTAAGGAGAAGTTTGATTTCTCAAAACTATAGAAACAATTAAGAGTAAATATGAAACACAGTCTTAGATACTGGCGACCATCATTAAAAGTCAACGCTGGAAGAAAGTAAATCAGCCCCCTCCAGTACGGACAACCACAAGTGACGAGCATCGCCCAACCATCATCCAACCTAGTCATCAATTTCCCCAGTCATGAGCACATAAACCCAACGCGATCAATAGAGGGTCACGGCAGTCAAATCTGCAGGTTCTAATCCTCACATCAGGCAAATTCTGTTCATCGGGTTCAGCAGATAACAGCAGTTTGCGAAAAATGTCTTTTGTTTTGTTACATGATTTGCAAATTGCGCCGCTAGTTGAACATGAATATTTGTGATTCGGGGAGTAAGAAATTCTTCCCGCGAAAAAATAAGAATTTTTTTGAAACTGGTTGATTTACTACAGTTTCCATAGTTCACATTTTTTGTTCTTCGTTCTATTTATTCTATTTTGAATATTGTTTTTCTTTTTCTGAATTGATAGGGTAGGCTCCTGTTTCACTATAAAAGATGTGTTAACTTTTTAGCTGTTTGATTTTAAGTTTAAACTGTTTCCTGATTGTTTTTGAAGTGTAGACGTCGTTGCGTAACTGGTTTATTGTAGAACGGACTTGAGTGTTTCCTGTGGGGATGCAGAGTTCTATTTGGATACCTTCAAACTTCTCTTTTGCAAATAATCTGTCTCCGACTTTTTTTTCGCTTTCGACCGTCCAGCCGCATAAAATCACCTGGCCTGAAAGTCTTAAAAAGAACGACTCCAGACTTTCTCTGTCTGCCTGTGCACGCGTTCAACTATGAAGATTTTCTTTTTTTTAAATAAATCTCAACATTTGGCAAACTAATTCCAGTTGATGTCTGATAAAATAGTGTGAGAAAAACTTTGAAGGATACTTTTCTTTTCTTCTGTCCGAGAAACTTAAACGAGATTATACTCGTTGATCTGCTTGTGATACAACACGTTTTGCACTAATTTTGGGCCTTTCTTATTTGTACGTCGGTTTCAGCTACATACCTGTTTTCGGCTTGGTCTTTTGCGATTCTTTTATTCCTTTCTGTGACGTTTTCTGTTTCTGGGCTTTTCTGATCTGCTGGTGGGGGGGGGGGGGGGGGGAGAGAAGTAGTAGTTGAATACATCCGCTGGATAAGATTTTAAAAATTCTGAGATTCCAATGTTACCTGAGATTGATTGCTAAAAAAAATTGGCCAAACCAGAACCTTTAACTCACCAACCAAACTAGATACGCAATTGCGAAATATCTATTGGATGAAATGATTTAGTTTCAAATCTAAACAAGGATAGCCGGTTACTGTGCAAGTAGCACAGAATGTTCCGACCATAGTCTAAATCATATAACAAAGTATTTTCAAATCATTGGCGTTTTATTCGATGTGGTATGATATAAGGAGCTGATCAAAAAATGGGGATTAGGTATATTCGACAGTCATAAAGAAATAAGCAATTTGAAAAACGATTTTTGTAGAAAAATGACTAGAAAAAACAAAAAAAGAGAGCAATTTCACAGTTTTTTGAATTTTTGAAAAATTTGATTCCAAAAAGGCGCTAAAATACTCGAAGTAAACTAACGTTACTCAAGTAAAACCAAGTTAATGAGTAATAAATTAAGCTATTGTAATTTTTAAAGCGATTAAAGTAAGACTGCTCGCTCGCTTTATTTGCTCAAAATATGACGAAAAGAGCAAAAAGAGCAAAAAAAATTCCAAATTTTAAATTAAGCTATTGGAAGCTTTTAAGCAATTAAAGTAAGACTGCTCGCTCGCTTTATTTGCTCAAAATATGACGAAAAGAGCAAAAAGAGCAAAAAAAAATTCCGAATTTTAAATTAAGCTATTGTAAGCTTTCAAGCAATTAAAATAAGACTGCTCGCTCGCTTTATTTGCTCAAAATATGACAAAAGAGCAAAAAGAGCAAAAAAAAATTCCAAATTTTTTTCAATTTTGCAGTTCTTTGAATTTTTGAAAATTTTGAAATTTTTTAATGTGCGTCGAATAACTCAACTCAGTGGTAATAACAACTCAAATGTTTTGTGGTAACTGATTTTTCGTGGAAAGCAAAAAGAAAAAAACTAAAACACATCCGAATACAAAGTTCCTCCCCATTTTCAATGGTCGGATCAATAAACCATGACATATACTGTAATTTTTCAACGAGGTTCAGATAGTGACAGGATTCAAACTAACATATAAGCGGGTTACTTGCCCGGTCTTGATCAACATTTAACATTCAAATGCAAGCACAAACACAATAGGTTAGTCACGTACGTTAGACAAGACCGTCTATGCCATTCCACAGATAGAAATAAAAAATTCATTCTTTTCAGCAAACTTTTAGTTGAAATACGACCCATTTCTGGAAAAAGATTATTTTTAGTTTTTTCTCACATAAAACATAAATTTCAGTCATAAGTAAATTTGTTGGGTTTGAACATTATTAAAATTATGCGACAAGAGCAAGTTGCACTTAAAAAAAAATTTGTGCCTCGTTTTTCTTAAATCAAAAGTAGTTGCTGAGGAATCCTTATTTACTGCCAATTTTTTGCCATTATGAATGTTTTTGCTCCTATTTTTCTCTAATAGCTCTCTGGCTTAAGTCATTGTGCGTTTCTAAGTGATTTGCTGAGCATAGCTGCAGATCCAAATGCCTTATAAAGAATCCAAACCAGTGATTTGCGTGTAAATTTCAAAACAGCGTCTGTAATGCCCCGCATCTAAAAAAAGTTTTTAAAAAAATCAATAACAATAGACTTTTGTAGTCTAAAACAATTTCAATATAATCACTTCTCATGTTGCACTCAGACA